ACGGTATTTTCCAGCGGGGCTCACGGTCGCACGTAAGTCGCGACACTCATTCTCTGTTATTCAGTGCCTAGTACTAAAGAAGAGGGGGTGCTTCTCACCAACTTCATTTTAACCCATAATAGTAAGCATACTATTACGATAGAATCGAAATGTAGCAACTAATTCTGCTTGGTGTTATCTAGTTAGTGTTTGCTTCCTGCTATGTAAGAGAACTCAATGAGTAGTGGATATATGCGAATAAGTCTCCAGTTTCAGAGGTTATCGACCCGTCCAACTAGTGGTAAGGCTCACCATTCACTATTCCTTAGGTAAATTCTTTCGAGGTGCAGGTATTTTTGGACAACTTCTTGTGATAGCAATTCTCGACTCACCCTTTCGGTGTGGTATTGAATTGGGTGGTCGCAGTTGAAGTAAAGACTCGAGCTGAGCTGGATACGCCGCAAGAAATTTATTCATGTGTTGTTCTGGTTAGTCAGGGACCGTACATGTTTACACTGAGCCACTGCTATCGATTGAGCTCCGATGTTTCTATTCCTTATAGATTCGTAAATAACGATTATCGAGCCAGCACAGAGTTAATTTAGCAAGCCTAACGCGCTGGAAACCATATCAAAGGAGCTTCAGCCTCATCATCACTCTACCAGTGACAGCACCCAGGATGGGAGGCACGCTCTCATCCATGTACGCTGTAACGTTACACAACGAACTAAGAATAGTTCTCTCGTCAATATCATTATCAATATTTACAACAATAACTTGGGGTCAGTAAGGCTGAAGGGACGAGGGCAAATGCGATCCTACTTCACAACTCATTCAATGAGAAGTGGGGTCCGTTATCTTCTCCCCGAAAACTGCGTGGCGTTCGCCGCACCCGATGGCGCGCAGTCGCATGCTTTGCAGGGTAAGGTTCGAATTCCCAACGCAAGGATAGAGTAGCCGCCGCGTGACCTTTGCGCTTGCCGTGGCAATTGGGGGAGAAGTTCCGGCACTCATGAGAAGTGTGTTGTCAGCTCGCCAACTCTTCATCGTTATAATGAGTTATCAGTGGTCTTTTTAGGTTTGATGTCACTGAAGCTCAGATGTCCGTGATTATAGTGTTAATCATAACGAGCATTTTCGGCAACTCCTTTTGGGATACCACTCTAGTGAGCAATTTCGTTAACTCCGTCTAGGTTATGTTTTTTTTTACTATATCAGTCAGAACACAGTGTTCGCAGATTGGCAGCTGGAAGTTGCGTCATGTTGTTCTCTGTTCATCTATGATAGGATCAACATACCAGATTCTAGGCTACGTGAACGTGATCATTCACGGAGGTGTTGGGAAAAACGGATCCACAATTGCGGTGAGCAATTTTTACCGCGAGCTCGACTTCCTATTCCAACTTCCATTGGAACTGGAAAGGGGGTCACAGTTGAAGATAATGTTAACTTCTCACTAGATCTTATATTCTTTATGGCAGCAAAGCTCCAACGGTTGAGAGGCTTGCCTTGCCGGTGCAGAAGTCTATAAATTGTGGCATTACTAAGGCCTCGAGACCATAAATGAAATTTTGTTTCCTGTTATTGAGTTTCTTTTCAGGGTACCTCTGTCATATTTCCCCTTTTCCCGTTACTTATGGTGGTTGTACCGTTCTGTATGATATACTCTCGTGCCGAGACTGCCGTCTACGATGAACATATAACTTTGTTTATGTTATGCTTCGGCGCCGTCGGTAACTCATTGTGGACGTAGTCATTGTCCTCTCCTCATTGCTTTTTAAAAGTACGAGTTCAAAGGTGCGAAAGCAACGAATCGCCTCGTAATTGCTCATATGAGCAAAAGTGAGCTGCGATTATGGGACTGGATTTACATTGGTCCATTGCTGTTGATGCTGAATCAGTACTACAACACCATGCTCGACGAACTGCTACTACTTCGATTAGTTACGGTATGCCTAATTGCACAAATTGGCTGCTTTCATAGTTCGCCGGCCGGCCGGCCGGCGGACTATGAAAGCAGCCATTCGATTTAACCTCTCAAACCATATAAGTCTTTTAACCATGCCTTCATTCCAGATCTACTGCTACTTCTCTCTGCTGGTATATTGCACGGTGGTTTGCCGACAATTTTGCGAATTTTTCAACATTTACTGTTTCACCCTTGGCGCTCGGAGCCCGAACAAAAAGCCAGCGTGACTATCGGTAGGCTCTCTTTTTCACTATGGCACAGTGTTGTGACCTCAGTCATTAAGTGATCTGCATTCAAGGATTACGATGCTACTGTATGATGAAAGCTCATTACTCGCACATACCATTTCTTTAAGAAGATTTTTCTTGTTCTCGATGAAATGGTATCATGATGTAAATTATGTTATACACCTTTATCACTGTTAATTTTGCCTTCGGACGATGAGATTTCTTCAGGTTATTGTTTCCAATTCACAGTGTTACTCCTAGCCAAGTTCACTAATCACTGATCATTGTCGATTAGCCAATAGTGTTAGGCTCGTACTGTAGTTGTCTGCAAGTAGGTTCGAGTCCGATTAGGCGTGGTTTGTTCAGGTGTTCTTCTAGTGTTTGACATAAGAGTAATCACAAACAATTACATATACTTGTAGAATATGATTTTCTGGAATTTTTGAATTTTCCGCTCTTTGAGCTCACATAATACAGTGCGTTTCATAATTATAAGGTCACCCTCAAATTTTGCACTTTCAAGAAAAGCAATCATTAAGGATTTTTTCTAGCATCATGAACGGATTCCCCAGCACGAATAACCTAGGTATCCGTTTTCTAGTTGCAGCTGCATTTTTCTGAACTTTTTTAGAACAGTTTATCGGTTTTTGCACCGTTTCATAATTATAAGGTCACCCCGAGAAAGTGAACAATTATTAACGAAAGAGAGGAAATTTCGTGTTTGAAGATACTTCTAAAGGTAAGCATGTGTAGCAAAGGCATTTCTAAACCTGACTGTCAACATGGCTCGTGGTCAACTGCTTTCCTCTGATGAGAAGGCTCATCATGAAGGTGGGCTCCGTACTCGAGCCATTTCCAGGCGAATAGAG